GAAACCGGGCCGCGCGGGGCGGAGGGACCTTCGCGCGGCTTCACACGGCCAGGCTGAGGTCGCAGGCGGAACGGGCGCGTTAAAAAAAAATACAGCTTATTAGAACTGAAACACGATGAAACTGGAAAATCCAAACAGCCCTTTACCACCAAAGAAACTGAATTTTGTTCAAAGTTCCCACAAAGATAATTCCAGACCCAGGTGGTTTCAGTGGTCAAATTTATCAGCCACTTAAGGAGGAAACAACGCGGATCTTGCACAATTTTTGTTGAGAAGGGAGAAGCGGGAACACACATTTTCTCTCCTTTGAGGTCAGCACAGCACTGATTACAGCCCTGAAATAAGTATTATTTAAAAATGGTCCCATCAGTGTTCCCACCGACACAGAAACCAACGTCTTTAGTCAAATAGCAGCAAATGGGATCCAGAAGTTGGGGTCATGGAGCTGAGTTCACCCCACGAATGAAGACGGACTTAACCTCTGAGAGCCAACCAGTGTGTGTGTCGTATTAGACTAAACGGGGGAGCGATGTGGGCACCCCAACAGGTGCGGAAAAGCACTGAAAATTCCAGGTCCCCTCGTGATGCACCTGGGTTGCGGGTGGGCTCCCTGTCGATGTCGCTCACAGGGGCGTTTCCCTCTCCTTCCCCCCTCGCTCCCCCCTTGGCTCTCACTGAGAAGGAAAAGCTATTCCCCCCCCCCAAAGCAATTATATATCAGATTGGGATAAAGAACCCTGAGGCCATTAAACTAAAAGGGAAGGACCTCCGGCTGGAATGCCCGGCCCAGGCCGCCCCAGTCCCTGGCGAGGACCACGGAGCAGAGCAAGAGCCCCCCCCCAAGATGCTACTGTCCTCTCTGAATAGAGACCCGTCCCCAGGGAAATGACCCTCTACCTGCAAAGGAACTGACGGGCGACCCAGACGTCCTACAGGAGGTGCTCTCTGTGTGGACCCCCAGCCCCGAAGTAAACGCCGCGCAGGGAACCCCGACGGCCCGCTGGGGCGTCCGCTCGGCGCCTCCTGCTGTCCCCGTTTCTGCTCCTCCCGGGGCTTCAGGCAGAGGGTTCGAGTTCAGGTAAAAACAGAGTGAACCCCTCACGCCTGCCGTCTCCACCCCGCCCGCCAGGACCTCGCTCTGGAGCCCGTGGCGGGCGCTGTTCCGGGCGCCTCGCTGTTCCCGGCGGCCTTCGCATTTTAAAGTAGGGCGGAGAAGGGGAAATAATGTGGACAGAAAGGTAGGAGCCTGTAACGCGAGAACCGCAGGCCCTTGGGGAGACATTCGAGGAGCTCTGCAGACAGACAGACAGACAGGAATGTAAGCGCCGCCTGGTTCTCGCGTTCTGCACAGAGGTGGCCACAGTAGCGCCCTCGGGCCCCTCGCCCACCGTTTCTGTTCTTTGTGAGCGACAGTGAGGAATTCGTTGTAAGGAACTAGTCCTGTGTCAAGAACTGTGCTTTCTTTGAAACAACAAGACGTATTTGTTTAAAGAAAAGTCATTCGCTCGTTTTGTTCTCATAACAGTTTAATGGGAGCCAACTAGAGTTTAAAATCTGCAAGAGGACACAGTAAGAGGCTTCCCGCCAACGCACCGTGTTCACGGGGCCGGGGGAATTCACACACAGCTGCAATTTTATTTTACATTTCAAAGAGATAAGTAAACAGGCGAATCAATTTTGGCTCTTCTGAAATTGCAGGCTGGGCCATTCGTGTTAAAGGGTGGGACTTCAGGAACGGCAGGAAGAACAGGGGCCCAGGCCTAGAGGCAGAGGAGCCGCCTTCCCAGCACGGACTCGGCCGCGGCCGCGGGTCAGAGCCACCGGGGTGGGCCGGGTGCCTCGTGGCCATCTCCCCGGCCTCTCACCTGCAGATCCAGGTGGGCGTGGAGGCCCCACCTGCACAACCCAGCTCCTCTCCTGCCCTAAAACTACATCGTCCGGTGGATTCTGACAAACCCGAGCTGGATGAAACGAAGACCCGTCCTCACGTCTAGGGGCGGACACAGCGACAGACAATCATGTTCCGTCCGGTGTGAAATTGCCCGGCCCGTGTGGCTCAGTGGTTGAGCTTCCGCCCATGAACCAGGAGGCCCTGGGCTCGGTCCCCAGTCGGGGGCGTGCAGGAGGCCGCCAGTCAGTGTTTCTCTCTCCCTCTCCCTTCCTCTCTTTGAAATCAATAAAAAAATAAAAATAAAATGAAGGACAGATGCCTGGAACCAACCTGAGCCCAGCCTGCATCCCGGAGCCCAGCCGCGTTGGGCCAGAGCCCGGGCCGGAGCAGACTCGGGGGCGAGGAATGACTGCCCATCCCTCCACCACCAGGCGCCCGCGGCCGGCTGCTCTTGGGCGATAGCGGCTGATGCGCCTACGGCGGGGAGGTAACCACGGCCCTCCGCTTGGCGATTTTGTAAAAATGAGATTATGAGAAAATGATACAGATGCGTCTTTGGACCCGTTTCTCCTGAACATCTCCCCATAACGCCCGGTGTTTCAAAGCTGCCGGTAAACGCTCCTGTCGTGACCGACGGTCCGAACCTTGGAGCCGCACATTTCTCTTAACCGCGTCCGCGTTGCGTTTACTACGACAGGCGCCCACGTGCTGAACCCCACCCGAGCCCCCTGCACCCCTGCCGTTTCCACAGAGCGAGTTCCTGGGAGCAGACGCCTCCCGCGAGCTTCCCTATGGTGGGTCCGGCCGCGTCCTCCGGGCCCAGTTATTCCCGCTCCTGTTCCCGTCCGTGTGGCCCGGCTACGCCCCGGCTGCTTTGCTGCTCAGGGGATACAGGCCAAGTTCGAGCTCACGGTGCAAAAACCAATTTTTGTGAATTCTTCCAGCACCTTCCAAAACTGCCTTTGGACGTTTACAGTTTATCCCGAAGGGGAAACCACCACGCGATCAGCCGCCGCACGAAGCCCGGCTCCCGTTTCCCTTTGTGCTTATGCGGAGCCGGGGCGCGGAGGCGAACTGCGGGCGCCTTGCTTTTAACGCGGGGAGGGGGGAGTCGGTCTAATTTTCTTTATTTCCCTGGCGCCCGGCACAGTGCACAGGTGAGTAAACACGTTGATAAACGAAGGGGGGAGACCGAGAGGACGGTAAAGCGCCTCTCCAGCCCGAATTCCGCCCTCACCGTGACTAGTAACAGCTTTCAAGGCCTCTGCAGTGACAACGGGCTCCGTCTACAATTAGGGGAACGGGGTTTTAACGAGGCGGCCAGGTGGCCCACCCTGTCTCGCCTTCCTGGGTGCTTCTCAGCAGAACAGGGCCCTCTGTTCTCCCTTCCACGCTCCCTGCCCCCAGGGAAGGCCACCCTTTCCCGCGTCTGACCAGGGTGGGCGGCTGCTAACAGGCGCCGCGGGAGCCCCAGCCCGGCCCTGGCTGTCCCTGCTCAGGACACGCCCCGCCTCCGGGAAACCCCACCCAGGGCGCCGGGGTCCCTCGTCTTGCACACAGAACCCCAGGCTTCAGCTGGGGACCTGCTCTCGGTGTGTCTGGTCTCAGGGGGCCTGGTCCCTGGGCCCCCGCGTCTCAGCACTGGCTCTGGGGGGCCGCCCCCTCTCAGCCCCGGGCTGAGGCTGCAGAGCCCCTTCCCCGAAACAACGCCCCCCCCCTGCCTCCGGTGCTCCGTCCGTTAAGCTCCATCTTAGCTACTCACACCCCAGCCCCCCCTTTTAAAATTCTCACCCGAGGATATTTTTTCTGTTGCTTTTCAGAGAGAGTGGAAGGGGAGGCAAGAGAGGGGGGGACATCGGTGTGACAGGGACACGTCGATTGGTTGCCTCCCTGACCAGGGCCAGGGATCGAGCCTGCAACTGAGGTCGGTGCCCTTGGCTGGAATCGAACCCGGGACCCTTCAGTCTGCGGGCTGACGCTTCAACCACTGAGCCACACTGTCCAGAGCAAGGCCTCATTTTTTTACAAGTTTGCTAGTCGGTTCCTTGAAATTCCCCGACAGAAACGGAACAGAGGACAGGAACACGGGGCGAGGTTGCTCACGTGGAAACGCCCGAGGACAGCGAGGTGTTCCACGGGAACGGGGGGAGGTTCGGGCGGGCCACCCCCAAGCGGCCACTGTCACCCAGCCCAGGCTGCAGACGTCACCCCCCCCCGACCTGGGCTCGGGCAGGGAGCCTGGCCTGTGAGGCCTGTGGCCCCGGCCACCCCGTGTGCCCCACTCGCTGCCGGCTCCCGGTGTCGCCTCCAGGAGCACGGGCCCGCCGGGCGCGGAGGAAGCCGCCGCCCGTTTTCCATCGCAGCTGTGATGATGAAACATCCAAGAACCGCCTCTGAGTCAAAACTGCCCGAGATAAGGTTCACGTCAGGGCCCCGCTGCCTCTGAGGCTCGGCCACCGCCCTGCTCGGCGGTGGGGTCCCGGCTGACTCGGGCGCCCCGAGCCCTGCCCCGCAGCTGTGACCAGACCCCAGGTTCCCTCGGAACGACTTCATGACACGGGGGAGGGAGGGAAAGTGAGAAGTGACGACTCGTGAATCTATGGCGAGCCTGGAAAGCAAAAGAGGAAATACAATGCCTGCGATGGGGCGGGACGGAGCTGGTGATGACAGTGCCCCCGACGGTGCACCGGGCCGGTGACCCGGGCAAACGCCGCGCTCCGGGGACGGGCCAGCAGCGAGGTGCGGAAGCCGGGCCAGGTGAGTCGCATGGAATAACCCCCGGGCCGTGCGGAGGCTCCGGGACCAAGGGAGACGAGAGCACCGGCCAGGGTTTCCCGGGAAGCGGCTGAGCTTAGAAATCAGGGTGCAGGACACGGAGATCCCGGTGGGAGCCTCAGAGTGGATTCACCTTTACCCCATGGAAGGGAACTTCAGTTCCCGGCAAGTTAAATGCTGACGGAATTTAAATGCCGCCTTTTAAAGGCTAAGAAAGTGCAAGGACAGGCGGAGGCTTTGCGTCTCCCTGAGGTCCGCTGCCATTTGTTCTCTTGGGGGCCTGGGAGCCTCGGGATTGCTTGGTTTCATGTAAAATGTACAGGAATTTGCTGAAAGATCTCACTGGGTTTTAAGTTCACTGATTATTTGCCCAAAACAACGTGAACCTATTTCCTTGTACCCAGAAGAAATGGTGAACTGAGAAGGGACAGGACAGGACAGGACAGGACGGGGGGAGAAACCAGCCCCCTCGTGCTCCATGAGCCTAAACCCATCAACGCGGGGGACGCGACCCCTTCCGCAGGCATATTGATTAATGTCATTACCTGGTGCGATTTCCATTTCCTGTGAAAGTGATGCCCCGTGTCTTAGTTATTGAAAAATATATTAATGCACAGGGTTGCAAGTTTGCATTTCAAAAAATCAAGTTTTGGAAAACAAACCACCTCATTTGTTTTCATGGCCCGAGAGGCGGCCTCGGGCGCGTTTCGGGCGGGGGCGCAGTGGGTCACGCTCCTCTCCCTGGCTCCCGCCGGCCAGGCCTGTCC